CATTGTTAGGTGTTGTGTTTTAGCATGTCAACCCTCGTGCACCATTGCCCGATATGACCGGGGAATTGCTGTAAATGCCAATGAACGATGTTCGCCGGGTATGGATCGAATTTGATCTACAAAAAGAAATTATTAACTTAAGTTAAACAAAATTGGAAAAATACATGTACTCCATGAAAAAAAGTTATAGCACTTAGAAGTATTCTAGTTACCTCTCCTTCCCAAAGTCGCTCTAGCCTCCTCCTTTACTCTACCAATTTGTGTTGGGCAAGGTTGTCGCATGTTGAGGCTCCAACCCACCTTATTAATAAGACAATAATAAAAATACAATAAGCTAAAATAAGCTAAAACATAAGGAAAATTGTGTTATTAAAATCATGATGGGGTATGAGAAATTTACCTACAACCATAAGCTTCGAGTCTCAGGGGATGATCGGGACCCCAATTCCTGTCGGGACATTGGAGCGGTGCAATCCATGGCAGATGCTCCCAAGCCCAAAATTGGATGATGAACATTGCGCTGCCGACCTCCCTCACAGCTTTGAGAGATGCATTGCACAAATGGTGGTAGATATTAGTGAGGCAAGTGGATGCCCAGCTCAACTCCCCCATCTCATCCCAACTACCAAGGAGGATCCTAAGCCATCCACAGCTAATTAAATTGCTCGATTTTTTTGGAGAAGAACACTCCTCCTATCATGCCTATGAGATAGACACGAGCATATCTTTCCTTCTCTAGCTCCGGACTCTCCTCGGTTAGGGGCACCCAATCTTTGGCAGGATCGTGATGGTCCCTAAATACTTCGTCAACCAAGTGATCGATACTTGGTGTTTCTTCAATGGTGGCAAGCGATCCGTCACATCAACGCTCCCCTTGATTGGTACTTTCACCCCCCAAAACACTGTGGATGAAATGCTGTCAACCGGTCATACCGTCACGATCCTCGGGGGGATGATCACTCACACACACCGCTTTGCCATCAATGGGCAGATGGGTTAGAATGGCGACATCATATAGCGTGATGGTGCACTCTCCTTCGTGAAAGTTGAAACAATGTGTCTCCTTTCTCCATCTCTCCACCAATGCGGTGATGAGTTGGCGATCAACTTTTATGCCTACAAAATGCCTAATCGACTCCAACCGTGCCCTTTTGAGAAAGGGCAAGATAACTAGGTTCCATGGGAGCAAATTGGTCGTACCCTTGTAGCGGAGTATTTGTTGTGCCTCCTAGCAAAAATTTCAACGTTATTTATGATATATTAGAAATAGTTTAGTCTTATAACTAAATTAATTAAAATTAATGATTTAATTTCGACCATAATTCTATTAAAATTATATTATTAACAATCAAATTTAAGTAATTGATGGTTTTTTCCAAGATATATACATATTATCATAAAACAAACATACTCAATTAATTGACATAAATAACATTATAAATGAATAATAATTTAAAGAGATACGTCATATTCAAACATTTGACGGTAAGTTGACACTCCTGGACCCGTTTAAATCAGCATGTGTACGGTAAGTTGGCCCGTTCCGCAGATGAAAAAGAAAAAAAATTGACACTCCCTATTCTACCCTTCATACAAACGCTCCTAGAGAAGGGAATTTGAAATGGGGGAAGAGTTTTTTCCTCTCTGCAATTATATGTTTTTAATTTAAAAAAATACAACAAATGTTCTTAGTGTGATTAGTTATGATCTTTGATTTTTTTTAAAGTGGTCATGGTTCGAATCCTAGTAAGTAGGGATGGGCAATGAGCGGGTTGGGTGGATTTTGGTCTAAAATTGACCCACCCGCTTACTAGCGGGTTGGAATATATGTGATCCGCCTACTAGTAAGTGTCTTTTTAATGAATAAAAAAAAGTAATTGTGAAGACCAAAATGTCCTTCCTACTTTCACTCTGGATGCAGGAAATTTGAAATGGGGCTTCAAGTTTTCTCATTTGGCTTTTATTTATTGTGTAGATAAGTCGATGCATCGAGTGACTAAGATATAAATAAAAACTTTGACAAACATATAAATGATATAGCACATAAAAAGTATTGACTTAAGATTATGGGTTAATACCTTATTTTGGCTTGAATTATGACCATATAATCAACTTTGGCTCGTGGTTTCAGAAATTAACATCCTGGCCTCAACTATGCAACATATAGACTCAATTGGCCCGACACATGGTTTGATCGTCAATTTGGACGATTAACACCGTTGATCGTTAGTCAACACGCCATGTCATTGCCTCGTTAGCCTAAAAATCATTAAAAAAATCAAATTATTTTCCTAATTTCTATTATTTATCATTATCAAATTAACCAAAAATAAAATTATAAAAATATAAAATAAATTTTATTTTTTATTTTTTGGGGAATTTGAAAATGATAAATTTTATAAATTAACCAAAATTTATCAAATTATTTTAAATCTATTTTTTAATATTTTTTAGGGTGGCGAGGCAATGACATATTGACATGGCGTGTTAACTAACGGTCAATGGTGTTGACTGTCAAAATTGACGGTCAAATTATGTATCCGGCCAATTGAGTCTATATGCTGTATAGTTGAGGGCATAATGTTAATTTCTATAACCACGAGCCAAATTGATTATATGGTAATAGTTCGGAACAAAATAAGGTATTAACCCTCAGATTATTGCTTATCTAGCTGGATTAATGCCATTCTAGTATCTCAAATTAGGGGTGGGCAACGGAAAACTGGTATTTGGGTATACCCATATCCGTCCCGTTTTTTTAGGGTTACGGGTACCCAATTACCCGTAATTTTTTTAACGGGATGGGACATGGGATCGAGAAATTCTATAATGAGTATCCGCGGGTTACCCATTAATACCCGTTTGGATATTACGAGTACCCGCACTATCCGTTAACTATGTACATATAATTATCCCGTTGAAACTTACGAGATACTGTAAAGGTGTATGATAAATCTACATGGTTTCTGTATGCAGCACATTGCAAACCTTGCTGGCAACTCAAAGTCGGTGCTTCCTGTTCCTGCTTTCAATGTCATCAATGGATCACATTCTGAACAAGCTCGCTATGCAGGAGTTTTATCATGATTCTTCCCACTAGAGCTTCCTCATTCAAGGAAGCCATGAAAATGGTTGCGGAGGTCTAGCATCATTTGAAGCTTGGTCTCCTTTAGTTTCATTATTGTGTTTGCTCTGATAACTATGGTTTCTAATGCGTATCTTGTTGTATTTATTTCTGTACAATTAGCTGTTGGGGAAATTGTTCACGTATACTATTTTCTTGCAACACAAACAAACACATAAGATTAAGAAAACATGCAAAGACACATGCAAGCGTCCTAGCCGATAGAATTCACTATCTCTCCTTAAAGAATCTTATTCCTCTCAAGTACCCAAGGTTATGGAATGATTCCTCCCAGGATAATAAGGACGTACCTTTTCCGGCGTAGCGGTACCTCAAACCCCGGAAACCATCGAACGCAACGAACCGGCGAGAACCACACTTGACTCTATTTTCTCTTTGAAAAGAATGCATAAAACTAGTTTTGGATTTTGACAGAATTTTCGTATCGGATAAAATCTATGTTTCTCGTAGTTAAAACTAGAGGGGGTATGGTGCTATTTATAGAAAATGAAGGGGTGCATTGAAGGGAGGCAACTCTTCATATGGGTGGTTACACCCCAACCATTGCATTGGTTCGTTTAAAATATTTCAACCATTGCATTGGTTCGGCCTCATGGAAGTTGGACCGGTTTGGTTATTCCAACCGCCACATCGGTTCGGTTCAATTTGGTTCAACTCGGTTTGGTTTGGTCCATTTGGTTACACAAACCAATTTATCCAATTAACCACATATTATATCAAATCGATCGAATTCGAGGACGTGCCTTCCCACATCTTACCAACATGGTACTTCAAGAGACTCTCTTGAAACTTTCCCCCTTTATTTCCATTCACACCACTAAAAATCCCAACATTAGCAAATGTGTCACTGTCGGCTGAGTACGCAGCAGCCGCGACGTATGCGGAGAAACAGCCTCCATTGCGGCAGCTCGGAGTGGATTAATTTATGCGTTAGTAGCGACGACGGTTTCTGCTCAAAAGCACCAGGGTAGCCCGTTAATTGAACGAATTAACGGGCATGTACGAGTAATTTGGGTACCCGTTAACTCTTTTGAATAAAGGACATGAAATTAACTTGACTATCCAAACGGGACTGGTATCCCGTCCCGTTGCCACCCCTATCTCAAATCTCAGCCTAGACACATTTCACATAACTAATAGGGCCTGGGCTCTCACCAATGGGCCTTACCTTCTGCAGGTTATCAAATCCCGGAAACATAGATGGGCCCTGAAGTGCGTTTCGGTTCTCTATTGGCCCTGAAAGGACATTATGCGCTCCCGCCCTCCGTGTCCCTTCTGCTTAGGGATGTCAATCCAACCCGTAACCATGGGTACCCTACCCGACCGTAACCGGTCAACGAGGGTAATTACCCGCTTTGACGGGTTAAGGGGCGGGTACGGGTAATACCCGGTTTCAAAATAAAGGGTAGGGTACGGGTATGGTAATCGATAATACCCGCCCCGTTATACCCGCCCCGCTTACTAAAGGGTCAATTTCCCTTGAGAAATTTAGTTTAGCTACCATTATTGATGATGATGTAGACGATTATTATGTTTGTGTGGATTGTAGAAACAAGAACAATTATTATGTTTTTGTTGTTTTTATTTGTGTGGATTGTTGAAACTAGAACAATTAGAAGTATTGAGAATTTTTAATGGACAACAGTACGTATGTGCATATGTGTGTATAAGTTCATAGTTTAGCATTCGTACCCATGATTACCCGAATACCCGTGGTTACCCGGTGGGTAGGGTATGGTTATATAATTTTCATACCCGGTGGTTATTTGGTCGGGTATTTTAGAAAGCTCTACCCGGCGGGTTAGGAGTTGGTATAGGGTAAACCCGCACCCGACCCTACCCATTGCCATCCCTACTTCTGCTTCTTCTCCTTCTTTCCCCCATCATTTCCAAAAAAATTCTTCAAACCACCCACAGCCACAAATATCAGCAGGTACGCTCTTCACAGTTCGCCGGAGCTCTCTGCTGCCGTATCTGGAAGACGAGTTCCACCGGGAGGCAGGCTTTCGTCAGCCTTATTATTCTTATCAACCGAATTTACAGTACATTACACAGTTAGTTGCGTCCTCAGTATCTCTTTCTTCGGCCGTCTTCGTCCCGATACGCGGCGGCGGAGCTCATGACAGGTTTCAGGTTCCTGCCACTTCAGTGCTTCAATTGCCTCCGTAATTTTATGAACTGAAGGTTCAGTTTGATTTCGTAGTTTTATCAGTTTTAAAAAGGAAAGGGTTTCTGACCAATGGCGGTTACAGTGTTGGCGCCCTCGCAACCTGATTGTTTCTCCAAGTCCAGTTTCCTTCCTCTGCCTAATCCCTGTAGCCGTAGGAAATCATGGATTCAAATTTCAAACCCTAAAGAGAAAATTAGCAACCCATCGGTTTCAATCTCCTGTGCTGCTCCCAAAATTGTTCGTAGCCGGCCGCTAGACAATCTCGTCGTGAAGCAGAACAGCATTCGGTTTGTCCAAAAGCTCAGAACCCTACTTCTCTCCAAGCCAAAACACTATCTCCCGATACACATCCTCGCCAAATGCCGTTCTTATCTCGGTCTCCCCGACCGTCGTCCCATCAGAAGCATGATTCATAGATACCCTTCTATATTCGAGTTCTTTGCAATCCCTACACATCCATCTCCATTCAATGCCACGAAGCCGCACAATCAGTTCTGTGTTCGATTGACCCTGGCGGCAGAAGCCCTAGCTGCTGAGGAATCCAAGCTCCAATCTGCCATTTCTATCAAACTGGCACAGAAACTGCAGAAGCTGCTGATGCTTGCTTCTAACCGCCGGCTGGTTCTAACAAAGCTGGTCCACCTAGCACCTGATCTCGGCCTCCCACCTAATTTCAGGTCTCGCCTCTGCAACGATCATCCGGATAAATTCAAGATTGTGGAGACATCTTATGGTCGTGCCCTGGAGCTCGTGTCGTGGGATGAGCAGTTAGCTGTTCCTAGACCAACTCCAGTTGTTTCTCGCGATTTGATTATGGATAGGCCATTGAAATTCAAGAGGTTGCAGCTTAGAAAGGGATTGAATCTGAAGAGGCGGCATGAGAGTTTCCTAATTAAGCTCTCGGAACTGCCTGATGTGTGCCCTTATAATACCACTATGGAGGAATTTAGTCAAGAGTCCATGGAAGCGGAGAAGAGAGCGTGTGCTCTGGTGAGGGAGGTGTTGGGTTTGACAGTTGAGAAGAGGACTTTGCTAGACCATTTGACACATTTCAGGAAGGAATTCGGGCTCCCCAACAAGTTGAAGGGTATGATTCTAAGGCATCCGGAGTTGTTCTATATGAGCTTGAAAGGTGTGAGACATTCTGTGTTCTTGGTGGAGGGTTTCAATGAGAAAGGTAAACTCTTTGTGAAAGATGATACTTCAGTCATCAGGGATAGGTTGATGCATTTGGTTAGGGAGTCGAAAAGAATGAGACAAGAGAGGCGTAAGGCTGCGATGAATAGAAGGGTTGATGGAGCCTCGAATGATGTCAGTAACAGTGATGGATTTCATGATGTCAATGATGATGAGTACGATGATGGGTTTGAGAATATTTTTGAGGATTCGGATCTTGAGGATTTTGATGTTGACTCATTTGAAGGCATTGGGGTTTGGGGCGATAGAGAGAATATGGATTTTTGGGCTGCAGATGCTTCCTTTCTTTCTGATCATGAAGCCGGGGAATCTCCCCCTGAACCATGGTAGTGAGATATGGCCATCCATCAGTTGTTGTAATGAGTCATTTCTACAGGTTAGCATAGGCTTATACTCGATCTTCTTCCCTGTCCATGTTATGCATGATATCACACCTCCAACAACTTACATTATTGAATGTACATCTAAAGCCCAATCTTCAGTAATCCCTGAACTGTTTCTTCTATAATCTGGCCAGTAGCCTTCTGGTTCTAGGAGAGCTCAATTTGAATAGCTACACTCTTCCTGATCTTTGTACAGTTGTTCCTTAACCGAAAGGGCTGACAGCTTTAGCCTGCAACTGAGAATGATGGTAGCTGTTCGTAAACCTGGAAGATGGTGCAAGAATTAATCAAGCTCCACAATCTTTTCATTTTCTATTTTATCCTTGGGTTGTGTTAATATCGTGGATGTGGAGGTACGATACCTCATCTTGAATTGTCCCTTGCTTGAAGAATTGAGTGTGTCAGCGTCAAGTTTCTTACTTAACCTCAGGGTCGTGGGATCTTCTTCATCACTACTTCAATTGAAGTAGGGGTGACAATAAAACCCGAACCCACGGGTATCCTATCCGACACAATCCTGTCAACGAGGGTAAAATCCGTGTTGACGGGTTTTGGGCCAGGTTTGGGTTTAAACTCGTTTATTATTCACCGGGTTTGGGTTTAGGTAAACCCGCCCCATGGGTACCTGCCCACACCCATATAATTAATTTTACCGGTATATTTAATATTCTAAACAACTAATCTTTTTTATGTTTGTGGAGACATGTCCGATTTTTTATTTCTAATTGTGTAAAATGAAGTTGATATTATAGAGTGGAGAGTGACGAAACTTAATTGACAAGGAGGAAGAAGCTTTCAATTAATCATGTTGTTTATGGATAATTTGTGATTTGCTTCAATTTTTTTGAGTTTTCTAGATTGGTGTTGAACAATTTGTATGGTTAATTTGTGATTTGCTTGAATTTTTAAGAATGGTTTTTTATATATGGATAACTTGTATTGGAAGATTGATATTTGACTTTTATATTGATAGGAACTTGTTATTGTAAATTTTTTACGAAAAAAACCCATGGGTACCCATGAACCCGCGGATACCCAGCGGGTTGGGTTTGAGTTTTCCAAACCCAGTGGGTTTTACCCCGGATTTTTTTCACGGATAAACCCATGGGTTAGGGTTTGAGTTTGACAAAACCTGACCCATTGCAAGCACTCGGAAATTAGAAGGTGCATATGTTTGAAATCCATGGAGGTTGATCATGCACCTCATCTCACACACTTGACATATCAGGGAGGGTCATGAGGTGGAACTCCGTGTCTAACAACTGTGCTTGTCTTGTAGATGTCACCTTTGGGTTTGTTGTTGATGCTAATACCATGGCTTCCCCAGTTGACTCCCTTTCTTGCTACTTTGTTGCTCGATTGGAGTCCCTTACGCTGAGCCTTACTTTTACCGTAAGTGGTTGAGAGCATTGAGCAAGAAAACATCCGAACAATAATGAATGGATTTTTTCTACGTGTATATGCTTTGACGATCATTCATGCAACTTTTTCCTTCTCACATTTTACATTTTGGTTGTTGTAGAGTTGGGAAAAGGTTGCAGAGTAAGCCCGAATTCATCAAACCTTGAGCTGGTTGACAGCCCAAAGCTGTGTACCAAGTAGTTTATCTGGCTGGATTCCTGTGATTAATTCATCTCTCGGTTTCACAAACTGAGGGTGGAGGTAATCATTCTTGAACAATAATCGTTTGGTCTGGATATTCTGTTTTGTGCGGCTCGTCATGACTTGTTTCCACTACCCCAACTTGCCTCTTTCTGGTTTTGGTTTGTGGCTTCACTGTAATAGTTTCTACTTCCTTTCCTCTGATTGCAGCTCTGCATATACATCTCCAACTGCAAACTGTTTCCATGATTCGGGCCTGTCGAGAACGTAGTTCGTGAGAGCATCAGCGTGGTAGAGATTGTGCGGTTTACAGGGCATCATATGGAGTTGCAGGTCACAGAGTACGCGTCGGTGTATTTTGTGGGGCTACAGAGAATAGTGGTTGATCAAGGTTTGAGCATCCCTTTCAAAAGAAGCCTATTGAAAGCCAAAATGGTCAACCTCGAGTTCAAATCGAGAGCACCCCTTTCATTTGAATTAGTAGTAGTTTAGCTAGCAGTATTTTTCCTTAACGTCTTCAGTGCTGTGCATGCCGCCATTTAAATGGCCTCAGCTAACTGTCTCAGTCACCTTACCTTGCCCTTTTGTGCTTATATTGAGTATGTGTTGCTTCAATCATTTTATTTATATTGGTAAAATCTTTATATTAACCGGTAATCCAATAGGAGTTTGTTTTTGTCATACTGCCGATACAGTACAGTTTCACAAACAAGGTGAATACTAACTAGTGTTTGTGTGTTTATCTTTAACTACTTGAGTTGGCATCCGGACGATGATGCAAATGAAGTCTCTTAATTGGGCTGGGCTGCTTGCAACTCGTATAATCGGGCTTGGTGGTGTAGTGGGCTAGACTAAGCCCGGGTGGAGATTTGTGGGTTCTGACCTAACCACGTGTCAGCATATGCGGGATTTCACTCGCCGATACGGTTGAACGGCGAGGGTCATTTCGGCAGAACCGGTGGAAAGGAAAGCAAGAAAGGAAGGAGGAGAGCTGTGCCATTTTTCCTTGATGAAGCAGGACAGGACGATTGATTAAAAATAATTTCTGCTTTATTTTTTTTCCCCCCCGGCTCTGTATAATAAAGTAGTTGTAGTTTTAATTCTAATGGCTTCTTCTCCTTCTTGTTCGTTTTCTCATACTCTCTCCGCAACCTCGATCTTACCTTCACGAACCTTGCCAAATTTGTCCTATCCTTCTTCCTCTTCTTGGGCCTCTTGCTGCTGTTACTTTTACGCTCCTCCGAGACCTCTCCCTGTAATTGCCCTCAGAGGAGCTCGACGCAGGGCACGCCGGAGGCCGCCCGAGAAGCAGGACATGTCTTCCGTCCCCATGTCCATTCCAGCACATCGGCGCGACAAAAGCGATGAGCCATTTCTCAAATCTGTAGATAGTAAGCTGTTTGTTCGTGTTTCAATTGCTCCTTGTTTCCTATTATAGAGAGTCACTGCAATGCTCGTTTTCTTTACTTCTTCGAGTTCTGCGTTTGGGTTCAGTGGGGAATGGTTGAATTACGATTGTTTTGCACTGTAGGATAAGGTCATTTCTTTAAGGTATTGGGATCTTTCAGCTTATTCTTCCCTTCGCTGCAGTTGTAGGTTCTGGTAAAGGGGAAATACTAACGACGGAATTTGAAGGACAAGCAGCTTCCACAAGTAGGAATGTGGCCCGTAAGAGCGTGTATGGCAGTAACAGAATCAAATGCTTTGGGGTGGAGTTGTCACCGGATAATATTGCAGTGGCGATGGTGTACTTTGTTCAAGGTGTTCTTGGGCTCTCCAGACTGGCTGTCAGTTTCTACTTGAAAGATGATTTGCATTTGGATCCCGCAGAGGTAGTTGTCTTATTTATTTGGCTCCTTTCTCGTACTGCTAATTGTCAATTGTGCTAATAACATTTGACTCTCTGTCGGAAGGATTCCTAGTTACTGACAATGTATGTGTTGACTAGACAGCTGTGATATCCGGCTTCTCGGCATTACCGTGGCTTGTTAAACCTCTGTATGGATTTATCAGGCGAGATTGCTAACTCTCTTCTACCTAAGTATTGGAAATTGCCGTTGTGTGTTTGTTCTCCCCCTTTCCTAATGCTGGCAGTTTGGTGGGTTTCAGTGATTCGGTTCCACTGTTTGGTTATCGAAGAAGGTCGTACTTGGTACTGTCTGGCCTGCTTGGTGCTCTTTCTTGGAGTTTGATGGCTACCATGGTCGATGACAAATATGGAGCTGCTTTATGCATTCTTCTTGGGTCATTCTCAGTTGCCTTCTCCGACGTTGTAGGTATCTTCAACTTATTAAGCTTACAACGAAAAATTGAGGGTTGTTATTAGTTAGTTTGAATGCACAACATTGGATATGGATGACAGTGTTTGAGTTGGTCACAATCATGTGATGGAATGAATGACGGTGGCTGATTTGTTGTTGGTATATGTGTTGTTGATTGCATCTTGCTGCCATCTCAAGATTCTTCTGTGTTCACAATCATTGTAGTATTCATGGTTGTTGCATACCATTGTGAAGTGATGCTGGTCATGCTTCAGTCTAATGGCACATCCTGGAAGAAAAATCATCAGGTGGTTTTGAATCTTCACCATAATTAAGAAAAAATCTCTCCAATTCAGGTTGTGGATTCAATGGTTGTAGAGAGGGCTCGTGGTGAATCACAAAGCACATCAGGATCTCTTCAGTCTTTATGTTGGGGTTCTTCAGCTTTTGGTGGGATCGTTAGCTCTTACTTTAGCGGTTCACTGGTAGAGGCTTATGGTGTAAGGTACATGGGGGTGGTACCGTAGTTGTCTACTTCCTTAGTTCTTGATAGCATTCAAATCAGTCACTTTGATAACTAACTTCTGAGTTTTTTGTAGGTTTGTTTTTGGTGTCACGGCTCTTCTACCGCTTATAACATCTGCAGTTGCTGTCCTTGTTAACGAGCAGCCTGTACGCGTTTCATCTCGGGGAAATATTCTTGCTCTCTCCAGTCCCAGTTTCCTGGAAACCTCAAAGCATCATATTATTCAGTTGTGGGGTGCTGTTAAGCAGCCCAATGTATTTCTTCCGACGTTGTTCATATTCCTGTGGCAGTCAACCCCACACTCGGACTCTGCCATGTTTTACTTCACGTATGTGCTGAATTGTGATTATGGTTATTACCCCTTAAAAATTTTCCCCATTACGTATTATGAAAACTAGAATCTCAGCTAAGGCATTTTCTCCCTCTTTTATCTTTACAGCACAAACAAACTTGGTTTCACACCAGAGTTTCTTGGTCGAGTCAAGCTGGTTACATCAGTTGCATCATTGGCCGGGGTTGGATTGTACAATGGGTTCCTGAAAAATGTCAGCTTCCAGAAGATCTTTCTTGGAACAACACTTATTGGTACAGCACTTGGAATGACTCAGGTGAGTGACCGCAACATTTCTCGCCCGTTCCGTCTGTCATTACTGGTTCAACTCCACTTAATTCTATTTTGCTAATTATTGCCTGTGGCTTGTTAACCCTCACAGGTATTTCTTGTTACGGGGTTCAACCGAACACTTGGCATCAGCGACGAGTGGTTTGCAATCGGAGATTCCCTAATCTTAACTGTCCTCGGCCAGGTAACAAAGGCCCTTTCTCTCCACCATTTCCCACCTTGGCCAGGCTGACCAACTAAGTTCCCCTTGTTTTCCAAACTGCGCAGGCTTCATTCATGCCAGTTCTTGTGCTAGCTGCGAAATTATGCCCGGAAGGAATGGAAGCAACACTGTTTGCAACTCTCATGTCGATATCAAATGCAGGAAGCGTGCTCGGAGGTTTGGTTGGCGCTTTCCTCACTCAGGCTTTCGGAGTAACAAGGGACAGCTTCGACAACTTGGCGGTGTTGGTCATTCTCTGCAATCTCAGCTCGCTATTGCCTCTACCGCTCCTCGGCCTTCTCCCCAACGATACTTCTGAGTCCCCTTCAAAGGAAACGGATGACGATGACGTTGAGATGAAATCTAATTGATAGAAGAACAAACTGCTTACAGGGAGGGTAATATATAGGTATTAGTGACTGGAAGCATTCAGTGACAGGGATGAATCATATAATCCCTTAGCTTGTAACCATTTTGAATGGGCAACACTCTACTTAATTTACTTTTCATGTGTATCAGACTCAGACTCGTCAGTTATTTACTAACATGCAGAACATAATTTACCTGCAAGGCAATATTTGAAACAGAAAACAGCTGGAGGCAGTTGAGGTCCCATTTGGGCCTGGGGCTGGGCTGTCACCTGAAGGGAAAGATTGTGGCTCAACTGGGCTCCAGTTGGATACGGAAATCGGACGAATCACTAGTCCAGAACCCATGTCGAGCGGGATTAAGCACCCACATGGTGGGGGTGACAAGCGTTTCTTGTTTGTAGGTAGAGTTCAGGTTGAATATTTTTGTGTTCAAGTGTAGGTTGGGATATGTACGAGTATTTGGTTTAAAAGAGAAATACTTGTACGGTTAATTTTTTCATAGGCACTTCTGCACTTCTACTATGCTATATAGTATTGGTACTTTAACGTACAACTTGAAGTTGTAACATAACATTAAATGTATAAGTTCAGGTTGTACCATAAAAGAATTTGTACCATTATGTTATGGTACAACTTTACAACTTGAAGTTGTACTATCACATAAAGGTATAAGTTCAAGTTATACCATAAAAGAATTTGTACAAAAAATATATGTACAATATGAAATTGTACCATAACATTAAAGGTACAATTTCAAGTTGCACCATAAAGACAAAACTTATAGCTCCAATGCTATATAGCATTGTAAAATTCCTCTTTTTTCATTAAAGGAATAGCGATGCTAATGTAGGATGGAGAGATCACAATAGTGCTTGTGTGGGATTTTCTGCTATGAACTTGGTTAAAAGTTAAAACGATATGCTAATACGAACAATTTTATATTCACAAAGATGGATGAAGGGGCTCTCATCCTAACACTAATATAAAGAGATTCTCCGCAAGAACATGATTAATTGTGAATTTCCATCTTTTTTTTTTGACAAAAGATAATCATTTATATTGATTGGATCAAAAGATATTACATCTTGGAAACAAGCCAGGCCTGGAAATCAAAATAACGACTTGTAGCCGGATACAAAACAAGGGCCTTTCTAGCCACCAGATGGGCTACCCTATTGTTACTCCGACCTACAAAGCGAACTTTAAGAGCACTATGACTAGTAAACATCCCAATAAGCTCCTCTAACACTGCCCCAATCTGGACATCATTCGCGTCCCTCCTAGCAATTTTGTCAATGATAATCTGAGCGTCACCTTGGAAACACGCATCCTGGAAACCCAAATCCAGACACCATGCCACAGCTTCCCGAAGAGCCAGCACTTCAGCCACCAAAGGATTATCAAGGCCCGGAAACTGCACGCCACGAGCCAGAAGAATATTCGCAGCGAGATCCTTAAGCACAATTCCACCCGCTGAATGAGACCCAGGCATGGTTGCCCCATCCCACATACAGTTAACTGACTGTACCATAGCGGCCATACCAGGAGGCGGTTGAGAAGGATATGCAGCTACAGCCTGGTCCACGGGAGACAAAAATATATTTCCCCTATCCTTGTGCCGACTCCTGGATAGGCAAATTGTTTCCCTTCAAAGACCACCCAATTGCGTGATCGCCAAATACGCCAAAGGACTGCAACCACTGCCATAAACAGGTTGGGTTGGTTAATAATGGCCATCAACTTTTTCAAGAACATGGGTTGGTTAATAATGGCGAGGAAATCCTTGACCAAGGTGCTCCAACCCTGCCTGATCCCAAAGGGCCCTGGCGACCCGATAATCAAAGAACAAATGCTCCATCGTCTCCTTCTCCGCCCAACACACCGGGCACCGGGGTTAAACTTCAACGCCCTTCTCAATCAATGCTTCGGTAGTAGGAAGGATGCGACGGAACACTTGACAAAGAAATACTTTCAGCTTGGGGGGAATATTAGTATTCCATAAACGTATCCAACTTGGCTTATCCATCCAGCTAACCACAGATCTCCACCGTCCCTCCTGTTTATCAAGCAACACAGCTAGGTGGTAGGCCGATTTAACTGAAAAGATTCCATCATCTGTCATATGCCAAATAAGCCGATCCTCAACATTCCGACGTGGAAGGGGAATAGCCTTAATTGCACGACACACAGGTGGGTCAAACCATTGCTGGAGCTTCTCATCACACCACCTTCCTTCTCCTTGGCACATAAGTGACTCTACCTTTGGGTCACCCCCTTCCGGAATGACCTGAGGATTATAAACCGGGGCATCCGGGTGGAGGAGGGGAATCCAATTAGAAGACACAAGAGAGGCGGTCCGCCCATTCCCAATCTGCCAACGGAGACCCCGGAGAAGCAGTTGACGACCATACAGGATACTCTGCCACCCCCAAGAAGGTCGAGACCTAGGAGTAGCAGAAAGAAAGGCCCCCCTGGGGAAGTATTTCCCTTTATAGACCTGCGCCAGAAGAGACTGGGGCTCAACCAGGATTTGCCACCCAATTTTTGCCAATAAGGCCTGATTAAATTGCTCAAATCTTCGAAAACCCATACCACCCTCATGCTTACTAGTGCACATATTGCGCCAGGACATCCATCTAATTTTGGAGTGCCCCTTCAACACCCCATCAAAACCGAGCCACATGCCTATCCAGGAGTTGGCACAAGGACAGGGGAAATATATTTTTGTCTCCTTTATTAATAAAAATTCGGACTCTATAAAAAACTGGAGATTATGTTGATTATACAATGGAAAAGAGATTCCATAGGGAATTTGTTGGAAACTAATTATTATATTAATATCATTTGTTAGGAAGACGGTTGCGTGTATAAAAAGGGAAGTCTAATCCTTTATAATTATTGTTACATCTATTTTATTTTATTCCCCCCTTTTAAACTTTTGCTAACGTTCTAAAAAAAATTGCTAACGTGAGAGTTAATTTTTATCCCTTGAGATTATGTTTAGGTAAATGTATTTTCGAACACATGACCTTTCGGTTCTAGGCTCTGATACCATGTCATAAACTAGTTGGTCCCAATAACTCGAGTTATTGGGATCAACTGGTTCTTGACAATTTTTCATAAATAAAATACTGAAAACACACACTCGTAGTTCAAAGCAAAGCCCTAACACGTGGGAAAATGGATTTGAGATTTTTCATGAAACATATAGAAAATAAAAAATTCAATGTGCTAATGAGAATTGATAAATGTGAATAGATTTATGAATATAATTATAAGTGACTGTCTAATTAATTCTTAGTTTATTCCTCAAATTTTCATTTAGGTATTGATTTTTTCTTAGACCAATGAAATGTATTTCACAATCTTCATCTAGGGACTAGAGGTTCAAAATTTAAAATCAATAACTAGATAATTTTTTTTCATAGATTCTTTTTTTGAATAACGATAACAAAATTGAGAGATCATACCATGTTAGACCTAGGTTTGTGATGTATAGTTTTCGTTTACCATAGTGGCAAACATGCAACTTCACTTTATTTCTTCATGATTTTGTTTGGTTTTGATCAAATATTAGTGGGAAAATTATATTGGTGCGATGATAATTCTTATCAAAACTTCATTTGACACTAACATATTATTTTGTTCTGTTGTGCCCTTTTCAGTATTGTTTTGAATATTTTATGTTAATGCATACGGTTATTAAGTACTATATTTATTGTTTCTATGTCTCGAAAAAATATTCACCTTGAAGAATCATATAATTGACAAAACAATGCTCCAGTACGATCTTCAAAACAATGCTAACACAAATCTCAAGAACTATAGTTAGAGTTTTTCAATTTCTCACAAATTCAGAGGACTATATCTCATTCGTTTCAACTTTGATTTAAAAAAAAGGTTAAAAGAATAGAAACTTGCCAAAGAAAATTTGAAGAAGACTATGATGAGTAATTTTATAAAAATTATACAACAATATCAAAAGACAATAATAGTTAGGTAATAATCTACCTCTACTCTTCTATTGTTTTCAACTTCGAGTTCATTCATTCGAGAGAAAACAAAGTACCACTAAAACATAAATTTTTTGGCCAAATGGTTAATCTCAATTGTTGTTATTTTATAGATTCGGGACTAACTGCGAGTTGTAGACAACATTGATTAATCTAACTTTATTTGTTTGTATCGCGAGGGAGCTAGATTTTGGAATGCATACTGAGAAACTACTCCAAGATACTAACAAATGAGATAACCTTCACCTCCTCATCGCATCAAAACAGAGAGCATGAAGTTAATTTTTCAGATCACGCTCATTATTACAACATCGCGAACCCCATAATTTGGTACATAGTTTTGATGATTATGAAGACGAAGACGAGCAATCTCAGACAAAGTTCATGACGTGTGCTTGGTAAATTTAAGTTTTTGAAATTGAAGTTTCATAATTCTAAAAATATTGTCATTAATCTTTTGCATTAAGTGAAATGCAGGAGAAGAAGGAAGTGTATGCTCATAGCGGAGGTAGTGAGTTAAGTTATGGAGATAATGACGTTATTGAGATAAAGGCAGATATTATCGATGGTGGATATAGAAATTCCAGAAATGGGTGGAAAGAGTGGATGATTGATAATATTTATGATCTGGATGAAGTAAAATCCTATTATCGTGAAAAGATATTTCACATTTTCAAACCTTTTACCATTAATGGGTCGTTTGATTGAGGGTTTTGATGATAGATTTGGTGATGGAAACCCATCCATCATGGCCTTGAACAGAAATCTATCGTTTGCATTAAGGATTTAAGAAGATGAAATTCATGGGGCCATGTACTTTAGGGGTCCAAATCCTTGGGTCCCATGGACTTGAAAGTTTCACCTCTTGAGGTGGGATTTGGGTGATGGATTTAAATACATGATGGTAATTTACCCTACTAGTCTTAATTATTTTTTAATTACAAATTTGTCCTCCTATTTGATTATAATGGGTATGCAACTAAAAACGTTTATAATGTCATATATTATTTAATATGAGAATTTATCATTTTTTCTGTAATATCGTATTTTATTTAAATATGAATGTGTATGTGATTTGTTGGATGCAACTATAAACACCTTATACTCATTTTGTACATAATTATTTGATTGACTGTCAGATTCCAAAATTGGGGAGTTAGCAAGAAAATGATGAGTTGTAGCAATAAGGCGAGCAACTGGTTGCGACTTATACATAATATTGTGTATATTATTAGATAAATTATTAATTAGTTTCTAAATTGTGATACATTTCTATATTTGTAGTTGAATTATTAGTCCACATAGTAGTGGTAAAGAGTAAAATTTCTTTGTATGTATTGAATTTGTTTTTAATGAAAAAATTGGATTATAGAAATATAATTAGATAAGGGTAACAAGGTAATTTGTATTTCATATCCACAAATCTCATCAAACAAAATCCATAATCAAATCCAACCAGCAAACAATAGACTTGCTCAAATCCGTAATGCCACCAAATCCATCATATATCTATGATTTTCCAAAACTCAAGTTTTACCAAA